GTGTAATGTATTAGATTGTATCCCATAATAAAAACATATCAAGCATATAAACTCATGTTAAACTTTAAAAGGCTATTCAATGCAATGACGGTAATTATTTTAGCCTCTGATAATACAGCTTTGTCTCTATTATTAAAATATTAAATTTTCTTACCATTGTGTAGCTGTGAGCCACCTTCATTAGTTCGATGCATCCTTGAGCATCTGCAAATGCTCGGATTCCTAAGCAGTTAGATGGATGCAAAAGCTTCATGAGGAAGTGGCAGCATACTTCTACTACTTGAGGAAGCTGAAGAAGGCATGCTGCAGCAAGGAGGTTTTCAATAGTGTCTTCCTTTAATTCCAAGCAACCTAAACATTAAGTAAAGAGGGTTACAAAACTCTGTTTACAACATGAAATAACATGTCTGATTGTATTACTCAAAATAAGCCAATCTGCTAGAAATAATCCAAGCCTAGAGTGATAATCAAGATAAATATATCTCTATGAAGGCTAGCAATTGTTTTAAGCATCTTGCATTTTAAAAATTAAAGTATAGTTAACTTACAATATTATATTAGTTTCAGATGTACAACATAGTTATTCAACATTTATATACCTAAGGAAGTGATCACCATAAGCCTAGTAACCATCTGTCACCATACAATTATTATGATATTATTGCTATATTCTTTATGGTTAACATTAAGTCCCTGGGATATATTTTATAACTGGAAGTTTGTACTTTTTATTACCCTTCACTTTTTTCACCTATCCTTCTCCCTTCCACTCTGGCAGTCATCAGTTTGTTCTCTATCTGTGTAAATCTATTTCTGTTTTGTTTTATTTGTTCATTTTATTTTTTTAGATTCCACTTTTAAGTGAAATAATATGGTATTCATCCTCAGCTTGACNGATTAGGGAAATGCAAATCAGAACCCCAAGATATCACTTCACACCCACTAGGCTGACTATAATCAATAAGAAAATGAATAAAAGGTTGTTGGCAAGGATATGGAGAAGTTGGACCCTTATACATTCCAGTGGGGAATGTGAAATGGTGCAGCTACTCTGAGAAGCTGTCTCATGGTGCCTCAGAACCATTAAAATAGAATTATCATATAACCATTTCTCTTCTGTTACATATCCAAAAGAAATGAAAATACTATGTCCACACAAAATCTTACATATGAATGTTTATAGCAGTATTATTCATAATGAAAGTATAAACAATACAAATATCCATAAACTGATGACTGAATACATAAATAAAATGGGGTATATTCATACAATGGAATATTATTTGGCAATAAAAAGAAATGAAGTATCGGCAAATGCTATAATATAAATGTGCATTATGCTAAGCCAAAGAAGCCAGCCTCCAAGGACCACATATTGTATGATTTCATTTCTCCATAATTGGGAAGTCTCTATAGACAGAAAGTAAATTATTGGTTGCGTAAGACTGTGGAGCTTGATGAGTGTGATGCTGAATGGCTATTTATAAGCACAGGTTTCCTTTTTGAAGTGATAGCAATGTTCCAAAATTGATCACAGTGATGGATGCACAATTTTCTGAATATACTAAAAAAAAACATTAAATTTTACACTTTTAAATTGGTGAATTGTATAGTAGGTGAATTGTATCTAAATAACGCTGCTTCTATAAAACATAAAACATATTGAAAGAGGAAAGTGTTAGGAAGATGTTTATTCATTCTTCTACAATCATTTGTTGATCCCCAACTGTTATCAGATAATGTTCTACTTGTGGAGACTTTAAATTTTTATTACTTAATGATAAAATGGCACAAATACGCATTATCTAGAAATGCATTTACATTCCATGAAATTTCAAATTGACACACTACTTGCAAAATTATAAAGCTGCAAGGGACCATAAGGGACTAGTATGGTCTCAAACAAACATCATCATTTTGCAGTTAATGAGAGAAGTCTCCAGTGAGTTGCTCAAAGGCGCACAGTTATATTAAACCTAGTTAAGAAGTCTAGTCTTACAATTTCCAATGCATTCTTTCCTTGTACTTCACTTTCTTTTTCTGCTCAAGCGGTGTTGAAATCTCAAATGCCTTCAGTGATCAGGAGATTATGGAAACATTTGAAACAAACTAGTTAAAAAATGAGACTGTTGCCCCAAAATAAAGCAGAACTGGTAGGAATATATTCTGGAGAAATGGATAAATAAGTAAAAGTGTGAAGCCTAGACTGAAAAGCCCATGTTTTAAAGAAGAACTTGGGAAATTATCTAGTTTAGTATATCTATCTAGTTGGAATTACTTTCACAATATCCATGCCAAGAATAAGACCTTTTATCCTTTAAATTTCAATGATGTCTGTACTCTCATAAATAGTTTTAATAACGAACTTCCAGGGATGTCACTAATTCTAAGATGTTAATTAATTTTTTAGGTCACAATATTTAATGTTAACAGTATGATATGCTAGTGACCTGTTTGTACAAATTCTTATTATTAGTCATAGTTTTGGGTTAAAACAACAATAAGCAACTAAAATTAATATTTGTAGAGTATTATGTACTTTCCAATATCTAATTCTGATATATATTATATTGGCTTTTAAAAATAAGATAAAGGATAGTCTAGATTACTATATAGGTTTTTGTCCTTGGACCAATGAATCTATTTTTTACTAACATTGGACATTTAAGAATACCATTGAATGAAGAATTGCTGGTTAGCCTGTTTTATCCT